ACCAAATCATATATATATATATATATATATATATATATATATATATATATATAGCTTAAGATTTTGGTTTACGAAACACAAACAGTGCTCAATACCATATAGATAGAGCGTAATATAGTTTTTCGTTTTACCTCAAAAAAACCACAACAGTCTGTTTCATCCGTATAGGAATCATCAGGAATCAAACAGACTGTTGTGGTTTTTTGAGGTAAAACGAAAAACTATATATATAATATATATATATATATATATATATATATATATATATATATATATATATATATATATATATATATATATATATATATATATATATATATATATACTGATCCTGATAACATCTTACTCAATCTTTTGAGTCATTTTAAATATCTAGCTGGGAACAGTTTTTAACACCAGAAATGGAATAAGTTTGAGTAACAAGAACTTACTATATAATAATGCAACAGTTTTCAGACTAATCAAAGACCTCAAATTTTCAGTATTTACAAACTTTCACTTACCTGTACGTTGATAACATGGATATAGTTGCTTATATATAATCAAACATACGATATATAGTTTTCGCTATCTGTAAAACAAGGAATCCGGGAATACTCTATTGTTGTTTGTGTACCACTTTGTAATTAATATTATGCAAATGCAATAGTCATGCAATCGACCTGTCTTATTTGAATACATTTCCGTTGACGTTTCCTAAGTAAGATATACATGCATTATATAAATCTTGAATTTTCTGCCAGGGTTGTGGAGTCGTTCAATAAAATGTTAGAAAATGGACCATTGTCTACCTCTAATGAATCTGTAAGTGTACATTGAATTTTAAAACATTCAAATACATGCATAGTATGTCACTGGTTAATATAGACACTCAGTAGTACTAGAAAAGCGAGTTACAAACTTTAAGCAAATTCGCCATTTTTGCATGTTGTTACCGCGGTATTAGATGAGTGTGTGTTACTCAAACCCAGATTTAGTGATGTCCTAATTCCCAGTCGCACTGTCTATTTTAAGTGCCATCATCGTGGAAAAAATGAAATTTTCTGTTTGAGGATATTTTTTCTCGTTCCTGAATTGTTGACCTCGGGCTGTATTTTTTAAAATTAGTTAATTATTTCTGTTACCAGTGACCATACAGTATGAAATCGCAAAGCAGTTAAATTGCACATTGTGAAAAGCTACTACAGTATAAATACCTCCGGACCAAAACGAGCTATCGAAATACTGAAAGCGATATGATGGTTTATTTTGTATTGATGTTTCATTACAAACAAAATTATATATGGGATATCTTCATGTTACATTAATGTTATTGGACAACTAGTTTAGTATTTAAAAACGATACTTCAAGCATTTTGTGTCTCTCATGAGTCTTAGACTTTTACCTATTATAAACTTCTTTTGTTTTGGTACTACAGATGCTCGTTCCTGATGGCGTAAAGACTCATGTAATTCAAGTGTATTTTGAAGAACTGTTGAAGTGTGGGACTTCCCAGGTAATATACCCTCCTCAGTATGTCCAGAAACAACTAATATAAGGGACTCGCAAATAATCTAATACAAACAAGACGCTAGGGTCGTTGGGTTCTCCAGCAACTAATAATTTTATTAATCAATACGCTATACTGTATAATAGACTACTTAAAAAACACATTTCAGGTTCATTACAACCTTTACAGCCATCGCGGTAAAACCACTTCTTATTCTATTATGAATCATAACAATTATTTATTAATAATAATAATAATAATAAGCTTTAATCGAACTCACTAAAATTTACAAAACTACGTTAAAACAAAAATAGTAGACATTAGTCATTACAAACAGCAAGAGACGAGTTAGATCATTTGGGATTGACAAATGGACTCGACGTCCCAACATGCAACAAGGCAAACCCCGCACGTTAACTACAACTAATTTTACACCATGACAACATGCAGAAAATACACATAAAAGTTCTCTAAATATTATACTGAGCAGCGCCATTTTCGTCGTTTGACGCTAATTTCGGAACTCTAACTCTATTTATTATGATTAATAATAATTATATAATTTTTATTTTTCTAATCGAGATTTCACGTTCTGTTCTCCTTCAACTACTACAACCCTTCATTCGATTGCTGGCTACTTCGAAAAGGTAAAAGATGCAAATACTGACTACGTACAGTACAGTTGCATTGACATTGTGTAAATCGTCTGCTAATATACTGTACATACATGTGAATTGAGTTGATTGATAGGACCTATATAAGTTTCGGCGACAGTTCAACTGTTCAAGAGTTCATTGAAGACAGTATCATTTCAGCTCGCCACACAACAAGTTGAAAATTTTGAGCATTATGAAAGACAATGCTGAACGTAAATACGTAAAAACACACTAAAAGATATGTTAAAACTAGTTAGTAACATTACATACGTACTGTTCGAAAATTTCGGATAATAATGAAAAACTGGATCTTTCTTTGCAGATAAAAACACCAAAAAACATCCCGCGCGGCTTGTTTCAATATTTTTACCAAACCACGAAGATTCCACGGCGGGTGAAGTCCGATCTACCGCGGGTGGCTTATACAAATAAAATTTATTGAACGTAGTTATGTCTAACTTAAATTTTGATGTAAGCCTTGCACATTTCTATAAAATATTAGCCAAGATATAGGCGTTTACACTCAAGGTAGCGTTTTTGGAAGAAGCGAGATTGTCTATTTATTTGCATTATGGTAATAAAATGGCCATTTCTCGCTTCTTCCGAAAATGCTACCTTGAGTTTAAACGCCTATATCTCGGCTAATGCTCTATATAGAAATGTATACATCAATATTTAAGTTAAACTTTACTGCGTTCAATAAACTTTATTTGAACAAGATGGCTTATTTAGTTTTTTAATTACAATAATTCAACATTTGTTTGCGCCACTCGGTATATAAATCGTATTTTAAACTGTACTAACCGTAGGGAGCCACCTTAAATACAGTCTGTATTCTCTCAACGTATGTGATTTACATGCGGTACTTGTAATTGGTGAACCAGACGGTACCCTGGGTGCCAGAGGTTTTCCACGCTCGCAAAAAATCACGTCAAAAATAGCGACGGACTGTTTATATTACGCGGTATTTCTGGGAGCATGGAACACCTTCTGGCACCCAAAGTAGCCAGAGAGTAGTTAACTACCTAATGGATCTAGTAAAAAACGTTTATGTACAAGGGAATCAAACAAAACAAATGTGCGTAATTGCAGCTAGTATAGCACATGCATGTTAACCAACAAAATAATGATGCATGAATTTTTTAACAAACTTCTTCAAAAATATTTTTATTTCATTAGCAAAGTTATCACGAAAACGGTTTCCGAAGAAATATTTGATGAATTGTTGAAAAATGTTACGGAACATCAAGATGGTTGTTTGTTAAAGGTACATGTAGCTTCTTGTTGCATGTTTTTAATATTTAATAGATAAGGCCTGTTTCAGACGGCGTGCTCTTCGTGTGCCGAACTTAATTGTATTAGATGCGACATAAGAACGGCATAAGAACTTATGTCGAACTTTTGCCGTACTTAATTGATTCATATATACGTTGCTCTTCTGCCGTACCTAAGGCCTGTTTCATACGTCGAATTTAATTCAGACGAATTTAATTCGTTATTAAATTCGTCAATTGGTCGACACTAAAATGGTTTCGTTTCAAACGACAAATTTAATTCAGACGAATTCATTTCATGTCTAGCGATCATGGATTACCCAGAAGTAAAAACCACGAGACCAGAAAGAGAGAAACAGACTTTAACATAATTTATGCATTTAATTCGGCACGTCGTATGAAACGAAGACGCGCTACAGACGTTGTATCCGTCTGATCATGGGTACTATTATTCGGGTATCACGTGTTATTGTACATTTTACTATCCTTAACATTTAGGTGGATTTTCAAGCCATGAATGACGAGTTCTTCTCTTGGGCCAGCCGTAAAGACATACCTACACGAAACAGACATATCTTATACGGGTACATTGATAAATTTAAGGTCTTTCCTAAAGAAAACGATTGTGATTCAACAATTCAACAAGAACAAGTTAATGGTTTGAATGAATCGACGCATGAGGCCAGGGAAAAGTGCAACGACAGTATGGAGGCAAGTGTGAATAACTGTAATTCAATGGATATCGATGGAGATAAAGAGTGTAAAGTTCATACAAAAAAAATCAAGAAAGGTGAAGAACGGAAACAACATGATGTTGTTGAAGGTGATGCTCGTATGTGCGACATGGATCCATCCGCTGGCGCTGAACGCGTCAAGAAGAAAAGAAGTAGGAAAAGGAGAAATTTGAGTCAGGATTGTGCTACAATTGCAAATGGCAGCGAAGTTTCGGTGGAGGATAGTATAGCCATTTACGAAGATAGTGAAATGAAAGAAGAACATGATAAGCAGTTTCTGAGCGAATGCGTGGAAGACACGAGCAAAACTGGGAAGAAGGTAAAAGGTAGGAAACGGAAAGGTGATAGTAAAACTGGTAGTGAAGAGAATACCCCTACGCTAACTGAAGATGTGAAATCTATAAAGAAGAGAAAACGAGGCAAACCTAATGGAAACAAACTATGTGACGAAACCCAAGGAGGTGATACTGTTGATAAACATAGAAAAAAGAAAAAGAATAAATCTGTTGTCCAGGACAGCAGTGAGATAGCGCCAGTAGGAAATGAAAATGATGTGAAAGATAAATTATCCAATGAAGCAGAAGCGTCAGGAAATAAAGGGTCAGACGTTATGAACATCACCCACGACTCTTTAGACGGATCGTATTTAAGTACACTCCCGAAACAGGCGCGAAATGTGACATCTTTGGGGGGAAACGTTGTCAAAACTGAAGTATTTAAGAAATCAACTGTGCAAGAAACAAATAACACGAAGACGAAAATTAAAGATACGCCAAGAATTGATTCGAGTGCAGATAGTTTGTGTCAATCTGATTTACGCTTAGCTGCTGATACAATTACCAAGACACCAGAGGAAGCCACTGAAATAGCAAAAGGTGACGATATTAATCTGACTCCTGACTCGATGCCATTGGCCGTGTTTCTTCGCCACGCACAGAAGAAGGTAAAAGCTAATACTGAACCAAGAACTCACACGGAAAGAAAAAAAATGGTAAGTACACAAATCGTAGTACAGTAATAGATTTAGCCTGCGAACAGGCCCTGGGTTACGGGCGGCGCGAAGAATAGAGGGCCTGCACGGAACTATAGGTTTTCTTGGTAGTGGCGTTCGTATAGAAACGCAGGCTTCTGATTGGCTTACACTCGTTGACAAAATTGCTAAAAATAGCAAATGTCAACAACAGCATTTTGAAGAATATGAACTTTATTCATATTATATATTATAAGACTATCGAACAAATAAAACTAGAAATGGAAACCAAAAGCAATAGCAAAGCATCACAGCAAAAAGTCTATCATAAATGACTTGAATCTATCGCTTAAATCCAATATACAAAACTATAACAGTATTCTGAACTTCGGATTGACATCAGACTATAGTATAGTATAGTACATTTTGAGGTCGTCGTGGCTTCACGGATTATTCTCATTATAGTGAGCAAGTCAGCAAGCGAAAGTATACAAAAGATACCCAAATATGTACGAATAATTATATTGTTAATCCTCGCTGGCATGTCTATTAGATATAAATATATATCGTACATTAAACGCTGTACTATTTACTGTATAAACTGCTGACAATTTCGTCGTCGAACGGCTTCCACCACTATGCTTCTACTATACAAACGGGAAATCGATGCCCCAACACCCGATTGGGCTGTCAATTTCCCGTGCGTAATACAAAATGACTGAAAACGGCAAACTTCTCAAGGCTATATTATCCGCATTTTACAACAATTCGCAACGAAACTTTGGAATATTACTAATTTTGTGATGCTCTTTCAAGCTGTGATGAAATTTTTGTCTAGATCAAAATTTAGTCTATAATGCAAATGGTCCATTATTGAACGATTATTGAAATAGCAGGCTATTTCACTCGACTAATTGTTGAAGGGATTTCATAGATGGAAATTACGAATGTATGTAATTTTTATTCATTAATTAGACCTACAGTAAATATGAGTAATGGAGTATAGTTGTGAAAAATGCCCTCTGGCAGAAAACGAACCTGGGGATCAGCGATTCCGGTGCACTGTCCAGTTGTCGAGCCCCAACCATAAGTTCATGTATAAATTACTAAGGTGATGCTAATGTAAACTGTATGGATAAATATCAGGACTTCAGGCATGTCACTCGATAGATTATTACATTTATTAGAGAAAATGAACTATATGCCCCCTGGCAACTATATAGGCCCTCTGGCAACTATTAGCCATTCCAAAGTTGATGAGAGCACTTAGGAACGAGTGTTAAAAAGTGCCCAAATTAAGAAATAAACCAAATCACTAAAAAGACCACCTTAAAATTAGTAAATATGCAAAGTTTGAAGACGTTTACATGAATACCCTTCGAATAATAAACTTTCAAAAATCGCGATATTTACTATGAAATGTTCTGTAATTTTTGTTTGGGGGAACGCGCGTTCCAAAAACAGTCTTTTAATCACTAATTTCACGATTTTCGAAAGCTTATTATTCGAAGGGTATTCATGTAAACGTCTTCAAACTTTGTATATATACTTAATAATTTTGAGGTGGTCTTTTTAGTGATTTGGCTCATTTCTTAATTTGGGCACTTTTTAGTCTTTTTAACACTCGTCCCCAGTCCACTCATCAACTTCGGAATGGCTAATTGTTAATTGAGGTGTGACATTTTTTCCCACATCAATTTTTACAATATTGAAAAAATTCTGGATATAATGTGCATATTCGCTAATTCATCCAAATATTTAGAATCGTCTTCAGAGATATGAAACTGTTTCATTGTCATTATTCCTGACACTGCAGACCGAGAAGAACGAAAAATTATTTGTCTCGAAAGAGATTATTTTCATATCTCTTGAGGAGGATTCTATTGACTTGAATGGACAATTAAATAGACAATTTCAGCTATCGACTAATTTTTTATCTATAGACAAGAAAGACGAAATATATCATTATAGCTCAAAAGAGCATCCTAAAATAAGTAAAATTTTAAAGTTTGGTTGCGAAATGTTGTAAAATACGGAAAATATAGCCCTGTGAAATTAGCGAATTTTCAGTATTTAGTATTATGCGCGGTAAAAATAACCACTTTCGGCTCAAAAATGGTTATTTTTGCCGCGCATAATACTAAAATACTGAAAATTCGCTAATTTCACAGGGCTATATTTTCCGTAGTTTACAACATTTCGCCACCAAACTTTGCAATTTTACTAATTTTAGGATGCTCTTTTGAGCTATAATGATATATTTCGTCTTTCTTGTCTAGATAAAAAATTAGTCGATAGCTGGAATTGTGTATTGGATTACAACTCGCCACCATGCAGTCGCCGTTGATTGGCGTTGAACATGATAGCTTAATGTAATGGATATTATAAAAAATACTGTAGAGGAACGGTTGAACTCTTCCTTGCCAGATTTCTCAACCTACCATGCATGCACACCATTTTTCATTCTCAATCGGTATATCGTTAGTTGACTTGAGATCTCGCATTGAAAGTTGGTCGTAGCATTTGCAACAATTCCAGGTTGAATTCTGAATAATTATATTGAAGTCTTTAATTTGAAATTCTAAACCCGTAGCACTGAGTGCTTTCCTATCTTAAACTCCAAAATTAAATAAATCTTTAGTTCTTGCGATGAAGTTGCCTTGCGATGAAGTTGCCTTAAATCTTGCGATGAAGTTGCCTTCTGGATACTTACTGGGGACTCCATCTTGTTTAGTCAACTCAATCCTTTGTTGTGCAAACGTGCTGAAGTGTTCAAATTTAGTCCGAATTCGTTTTATGTTCAATTTTCGTTTCCACAGCGACAGAATACTGATAGTTTACGAGCCTGTCTCTTCAGTTCTTTATAATATGTTGGCGTTGCGATAAGCCAATAAATTGGATGAATAACTTGCATAGCCAAAAACAATGGTAATGTATACAGGCAAGCCTTTACTAAAACACGTTGATCGCATTGTGAACAATGTATGATGAACAAATACATTGTATTTGATGGCAGGCTGCAGAGAACTAAGGTTGCTATGAATACAAACAGTACTCTTGCTAAGCGGATATTTTGACGGATAGCTACAGTTCCTTGCTGTGTTGCTGATACATTGAACCTTTTTTTAAGATCATTGTGTCTTTTCCAAAGCGTGTGTAAGATACGTATGAACATGTAGGCAATGAATGCAGTTATTACCCAAGAAATACAGACGATAACCGTGACCATTACTTTGAGGTATTTATCAAAATCTTCATGGACGATAGGAATAATTATCATTACAGCAGTTGTCAGAACCCAATGAATACTGAGGAAAATCATGGTCGTTTTTATCTTTTGTGGATCCATTGACTTAAATCTCAACGGTTTAACAATCATGCCATATTGTGTTAGTGTGAGAAGAAAGACACTTGGATAGTATTTGGGTAAAATTATGGACAACATTATTGCACCAGCTTTGTAAGTCAAGGTCATTCTGGATAGACTGGATGATCTTACGTGGTTGTCGATTCTGCCAACTACACTAAACAATGTGGATAAAACGTTGACTATGGAAAGATTAACCAACAACAGATCTTTACTGCTTCGTGGGTTTTTATCTGGATTTTTCCATATCATCCAGAATAGTATAATATTTGACACTAAACTCATTCCCAGAATGATGTCGGCGAGAACTTCGATTACTTTAATGTTTTCTTCTGGCTCTATTGGAAAACGGAACCATGCAAGTGCAAAGTATCTTGAGGAATTGGAAACGTTTCGTAAATCCGAAGACATCGTAATCATTTTCCCGGTAATCTGATACGATGATTAAATTTAAATGACTAATTTTGTACTCCCGGGCCTGACTCAAAACTCCAGAATCAAATTCAGAAGAGAAGCTGTGTGATCTTCTCAACCCAATACAAGTCAAATCAAAATCCACATGTACTGCTGCATGTATGTAAGTTTTCACTGTTTCAGTGAGGATTTAGCCGACATGCAGCCGTGGCTGTGCTTTGGAGCGATCCTTTCAGTTTCCACAGATGAATATGGAGGCCAAAAAAATGTTGATATTTTTTTCGCCACTGCATGAAATTTACATTTCAATTTAAAGAATTGATCCTGTTTCAGTTTTAACCAAATTAAGCTGAAGTAATTCAAGTATATAGGCAACTTTCCCAGAACTATTCCATAGAGCTGTTACTAAAAAAACTAGATAAGTAAAAAATAAACATATTATTTTATACTCAATGCATGATAATCACTGCATGATAGTGACAACAGGATATATATAGTGTTGTGAATTTTAAAGAGATTAATCTTCTAGGTCATATATTCATGCATTTATATGAGCGGCTTTTCACCTTTTCAATTTGCATTAAATAATGTTTTGGAGACTCGAATTGTTTGTTTTTTTCATAAGACAATTATATTACCAGTAAAATAATGCACAAGGCAGCTTGACAAATGTCTAGACATTAGTTACCGATATTTATAGGTATATCCATCTCATGTGCATGCATATGCCGAGGAAATATACTATATTATAGTATATATACAGGGTGTATAAAAAAAAGCGCAATCCTCGACTGAAATGTAAATTGCTAAACAAATAATAGACGAAAACGTTAAAGTTTACATTCATTTTAAAGCGTAGCCATTCAGCTTTCTAACAGTGGGTTGTTTCTTAAATTTGACTCATTGGTTCGCGGGTAATAATACTTTACGTTATTGCGATTGGAGATTAAAAAAATTGAGATGGAATAACAAATCGTTCTCATGAAAATAACTGATTTTTTCATTAAAACAAACAAATGTTGCATTTTATTAAATGGATTGTAACAATAAGTATAATTACGGCTTTTCTTCCACTATTTTAACTCAGTTTGAAACTTCAAATGCGATATAATTTTGGCTTGGACCATCTAAGCTGACTGACATCAACTTGCTATAATTTCTGTTTACATTACATCGCAATTCGATGACACTCTGGCTCAGACACCAGAATGTTTTGACGATTTTTAGCATTCGTTTAGGATTTTCAAACAACCTGGTCTCTTTTAAAATACTTTTAATTTGTTCTTACGTGGTTTTCCAGATGTAGTGACGACAACATTAAAGTTTAAAGAAGAAAATTCTAACATTTAAACCGACTAAACAATAACATAGTAAACTTGCATAATTAAACAGCAACTAAAAATGATAGGTTTTACTAAATCTTTTCCTGTGCAATTATTACTAGCATTGGAGACAAGGATAATAGTTTGTTTGAAAGAGAAAAGAACAGGCTTTGAAGTAAGCCTAAAAGCGTTTAACTAGAAATAGTATTTCGAAAGTTATTAAGCACAAAAGATGAATTGCGTTTATTTTGATACACCCTGTATACTTGATATTTTGGGCAAAGCTGTGTCCTTTTACTTGTCTACATAAAAACCTCTTCAAATAATAATATTCCACATATAATAATATGGGCATATCATATCATAGATCAACAGATTCATTTCAAGGAACCGCAAATTACATGAACCATGTATATATTGCCGTTTTATGTACAAATACTGGTAATGAAAAAGCAAAAACTAACAGCGTAACTAAAGCGCCCCGCGGTTATCATCCTAATAAACGTTTGGCCGTAAATATTGGAAAGTTTTTTAATATGTAAAGGCTTTACCTTAGTCCCGTGTGTTACTACTTCAAGCTGCTATCAATAAGTGCTATAAATCCTGTGATGTAAACATAGTAAGTATACGGTAATCCCATCCTCTAAGTCATGCAGCCTTCGATCGCCATGCTCAGGATCTATGAGCTCTCTGTGAATGTAATGACTAGCTATAATATTCTAACTGCGCTCTATATATATGTTCCAATCTTTAAACTTACTTCTGTTTCCAACGATTACCACAAGATTAAAGAATGACTCTGCATGCAACATATAGCCAGAGGATGCAATATTATTAATATAGTGTATATATGTGACTGTTAAAAAGTCTTTGTCACAATAACCTTCACTCATAAAGAATTAGACCGGAAAATAAAATGCTATTTGCTCTGTTAATATACGTCATTTAATGAACTGCAATTAATAAAAGAATTCTTTATAGAATTTGTAAGAAGACCAAAATAACAATTTTTGCTTCATCATGCAGCAGGCATCTTGAGTTCAAATTTTTCAATCACTCTCTATTCAGCTGATAGTTTTAAAGAAAGTACATTTTAACAAAATAAATATATGTTGTGCAGTTTCCAAAGTTAAGATGAACAAAATCCGCAGCATGGAGTTTAATTAAATACGTAAGCTAAACACAAGTTGTATAAACATTTGTAAAGGCGGCTATATATACAATTGCTATATGCATGTGCATGCAAATTAGACCGTTCATATAGAGAGCTATGTAAAATAACTTTTGTATCTTACAATACATATTACGTGAACTTTGAAGAATAAAATGTCTTAAAAAAATCGAAATCTATTTTCTTGTTTAAATTTTTTACCAAGATCCAATTATATAATTGAAAAGGTTTCATCAACATGAAAGCCGGCAAGACGCTGTGAAAATGATGAGTTTTTGACTTATATTACTCAATTAATTAACTTTCTTATAGTTCATATATATGAAAGAGAAAAACACCTGCCTTTTCGTAATAAATAATTTAAAAACCTGTAAAACAAACGTTAAGAGCTATTATATTTTGAATCATAATGAATGCAAAATCACCCTTAAAATCTGAAGAAAAAATTATATTAATTCTATACTATAATGCATATTCTTCCTCCTCAAGACGTTAATGGCAATGTCTCCGCATTCGCATTTACGGACTCCATGTCGCACTAGTGTTTGTCGTCTATTATATTATCATTTACTTAATCACGATTATATGATATAGGACTAAATTTAAACCATCATGTATTCGTAAATCTGCTTCTGTATATCAGTGATATAACTCATTCTTTCAATAATTGTTCCCTGCTGAACGAAACCGAATGCTCGCGGAGAAAAACCCTGATTTGGTTCAATCCGATCTTGTTCCATTGAAAAACATGTTCAACGCTACTACCGAATTATTCCGAACTATTTTACAAAAAGTCTTTAAATTATAACGTCAATATTTATCTGTAGGCTTTTTTCTTCATTTCATTATAGACGCCTAGAAATCAGGCAAGTTCTGGCAAGAAGAAGAAAGTTCGCATAGAACTATCCAAGAATACAAGCCACTCTACTCGAGGTATAGTACTTTTCCCTTGAAATTTTTGACTCCGAACGCTATAACCTGGTGCAAATCGTGATGAGTAGCAAAAATTTAATTGCAGTATCGTGATGAGTGGCAAAAATTTAAACGAGTCCGTCATATATAATTATATAATAACTCGCCTCGGCGGCTCGTGAACCTCTTTTTGTTCTTGCCACATTATGACGTCATACCGTGTATCTATAACTGAACAGACAACGGCAAAATCTTATCAATTTGTTAAATAGATAGAAGGTGCCAGCGTGTTCGTTCATTGAAAGGAATATGACTGCCTTTCTCACACCATGCGACCAGGCCTTGTCCGCCGTTTTTGAGTGGCAAACTGCACGGGGAAAGTGGATTGCAATGAAAACACAGCACTATTTTGTTTATATAAGTACTACATTTACTTTCCTAAATCACTCTTTCGCTTGTTGCCATCTATACTTCCCCGTGCGGTTTTACCTCCTCCGGACAAGGCCTGCTCGCGCAGCGTACGAAAGTGTAATACGCCAAATAGTTTCCAAGTAGGTGAACTGATGTGAAGCGTTCCTCTTTTCAGTTAGAAACTCATTTAGAATTTTCTATAATTACCTTCGCAGATTTGAAAAATTATTTTCAAATCCCATGAGGGAATTTACAATATTTTTTATAATCAAAATTTATATACAGAAGTATTGCTTTGCATATATAAAATAGTTTAATCAAAATCCTATTTAACAAATCATTATTTCCAGGCTGCCAATTTTCCTGACGACAAGTAACTGTATGATTGGTATTATATTAATACAATTTTTTTTACTGCTGCGTCTAATTTTAGACTATATAAATATTTTTTGAAAGTTCCCGTTTGACCAATTTCCATAGTTTTTAACAACGATTCACACTGCATAATTTAATTGGCTTATAGGAACATTTCAAATTCCCTCGAGGGATTTGCAAAGAGTTTTCAAAATTGCAAAGGTAATTAGGAAAATTCCAAATGTGTTATAGAAACTCAAAAGAGGAACGCTTCACGTATTCACGTAGTTCACCTGCATGTAATAGGTTTATATTCTTCATCGCTATTTCCTGATGTACTCCCCTTCCATATATTTAACTCCTAACTAATCTTCACATATGATACATTTTGCAAGTAAAAACGTATAGACACAAATGAGATGAGGTAGTCGCGCATTCCCCCTTGTAAATGGTTACATTACCAGCTCAATGACAAATCCTCAATATACTATATATAATAAACTCTGCAGATTACAGACAAATTCTCAAGTGTAGTCCTGTTGTTCCATTTGATGCAAACAAGAAACCAGTTCAAAGCTCCTTGAAAACCCCACCAACATCAGCAAGTAAGCCAACTACTGCAAGCTCACCACAACCACGGAAGCGACCTGCTGCAGTGGACTTCTTTTAACAGTATTAAAGAATCTTTGTAAAGATTTTTATCGTATAACTAAATATTCATATGCTGTTCTATATTCATATTCTGTTTTAACATTGCATGACAAATATATTGCTATATCCTAATTCCTAAAGCGTTTTTTACGCGTGTCTTCAGCACGAAATGAAAGATAATAGATATTAATAAACATAGTATACATGTGGAAGGTTGACTGAAGTCATTTTCGTATGTTTTTGTTCATCTTAAGGTGGCTCGATACAGTTTTCAAAAATTCAGGTGTTTAACAGTTTGACATGTTCAAACTACGCATTTCTAGGATTTATTCAGCAGTATTGGTGTTTTTTATATATTTTGATAACTCTACTTTCAAATTATATTAGTTTTAGTAACAGATAGCTCGTTGCTATGACGACATACGTGTACGAAATTCACTCCAAAATGGCCTATCGTTTCGTATAGTTGGAAAAAAAGCATGGTGACCCCCAATTTTTTTTTCTTGCATTGTTTTACTTGGACGAAAAGCTAACAATTAGCAAAATATAAAAAAATTCTGTAATGCCATTTTTTTGGAAAATGCGAAAATGTCATATTCTTCGGTAAAATTTTTTTGGCATTACAGAATTTTTTTATTTTTTGTATAATGAAAGTTTTTAGCGGTGCAATACAGCATGCAAAATTTGAATATAGGTCACCAGGCAAAATAAAGAGATATAGCGCATTGTTTTTCTAAAATGGAAAATTCTAATGACGTCAGCAATCGACACAAAACGCTATACAACACGCGCAATGACGTGAGATGGCGCGAGCAACTGCTCACGTCAGGTCATTTTGGAAGTTCTTTCATTTTGTTAACCAGTTTGCACGACCTGCGCGTAAAAATGGTCGCCCAGTTTTGTTCGCGATTCTTGAGCAGGGTTTTTGTGATAACTATATCGAGCCACCTTAATAAAAAACTTGTGCCTTTTTACGCCTATAGATTTTTTCTAGATAAGCTTTTGGTGTAAATGCTGGTGTCGTGGGGAGTACATCTGTCCAGGCCCCAACCACCAGTGCCGTAGCC